AAGGAGGAAGAGGAGAAGGAAAAGAAGAAATTAAAAAAGGATATATATGGATAAAAGTACAAAATATAAGATATTTGGTTCTATTTCTGTAAACCCTAAAATTTTCTCTGATGAGGCTTGAGACATCTGGTAATCTACATCATTAGGATTTGGTTTATAATACATTTTTAAATGTATTAATTGTATGAGCCAAAACGCTCATACACATAAATGAAAAATGAGTTAAAAGAAAAAAGTTTATAGGGTTTGGAGGTACAACTCAATAGCAGAGTGCTTGCCTGGCATTTGGAATTCTCTACATTTATTTCTTACTACTAAAGAAAGAAAAGATGGAGTGTAGAAGGAGAGAGGAAGGGAAGGATGGAGGAGGAGGAATTACAAGGATGGAAAATTTCAACTTTGATTTAACAACTCAGCAATTTTGCCTTACCATCCCAGCTCCTTGGGTGGTTAGGTAGGACCATTGCAAGGTCAAGACCTGTGTGGGCTACAGGTTGGACTGTTGAAATTTTCTTAGTTCAAATTCCATTCCCTCCCTGTCCATGTTCAGAGGCTCAGAAGAGAGCTGCTTACACAGAGCTAGGTCTTTATTGCGCGGGGGGGGGGGGATATTGAACACAAGCCCTTTAGTCAACCACCACCAGTGTCTGCTAGAAGCGAAGTGCTGAGGGGTCACCATGCTTGTCTTCAGACACAGAGACCTTAGAGATGCCACGAGAGGACACCTCTCCTCTCCCTTTGCTCAAGGCACACAAGGCACTCCCTTGTCTGGTTTTGACATAAAGGTGTCCATTCATCCTCAAACCCTGGGTCTATCTCTTGTCTATTTGGTTCTTTTAGGATTTTGTTTATGTCCCTCTGCCCCACCATAGTTTCAATGGTACTGCAGCAATATAGATAGGGAGGGAGGAGGGAGGACTGGGGAGAGAGGTAGGAAGGAGGAGGGGACAGGGAGAGGAGGAAATAGAGAGGGAGAGAGGGAGGGGGAGGGGAGGAGGAGAGGGAGGAAGGGAGACGGAGAGGGAGGGGAGGGGGTCAGGGAGGAAGAGGGAAGAGAGAGAGGGAAGGGGAGAGGAAGGAAGGCAGAGGGGGAGGGGGAGGGGGAGACATGGAAGGGGGAGGGGGAGGGGAGGGAGAGGGAGAGGGAGAGGGAAAGGGAGGAGAGTAAGAGGTGTTCCTCCCCAGCCTCTGCTTCAGCTCCTGCCACCAGGCTCCTGCCTTGAGTTCCTGAGCTGACTTCCCTCAGTGATAAGGCTTCCTGGAAGTCTAAGATGAAACAAACCCTTTCCTTCCCAAGTTACTTTTGCTCACAGTGTTTTATCACAGCAATAGAAAACCTAGCTAAGAAAGAGAAAGAGATGAAACCTTTTCTCTTAACATTTTAACTGTACAGTTCAGTATTATTGACCACAGGTATTATGCTGTCTTCGAGTTATTCTTATTGATTGACTAAAAATATTGTCTATTGATAGATAACTTGCCCAATGTTCCTTCTGGTAGACAACATCATAAGCTTTTCTTTTATGAATTTGGCTTCTTATCCATTTTATAGTGTTTGAGACAGGTCTTGCTATATACCTCAGGTTGGCTTAGAACTCACTATGTAGTACAGACTGGCCTTGTGCTCACGGTGATCCTCCTGCCTCATCCTCACAAGTCTAGGGATTGCAGACATGAATCAGCATGTCCAGCTTGAATATGAACACTTAACAAAGCTCATATGCGGAGAACAATGCAGTGCCTGCCCTTCTGGGGGTTGTTTGCTTCACTGGGTCAAGCGTTTCTGGAAGGCCCAGCCTTATGGTTTTTTTGTTGTTGTTGCTCGGCATCATCATGGTCTCCATTCCACTCTGCATATGCACCACACATTTTCACGTGTTTATTGGAGTTATTTCTCCACCATAGCTCTTGGGAACAGTGTTGCAATGGTTACATGAGTGCTGACATCTCACCCCCATACTTATTTCATCCCCTTACATGGGTTCTATTTTTAATTTCTTACTTTGTGAAATCTTCAAACTATTTCTAAAGAGGAAGAGCTTTCTTCCCTCTGATTTACACTCCTTTTTTTTTCTCTACTAGTGGCATGGAAGGAGGGCTTCAGGTCCCCCCAAATGATTCTGACTCATTCACTCAGAGGCAGCTTTTCCTCCTAATAGCTGGGACCCTGGGTTCCTGTAAACAGTATGAAAGAGATCCAATCTCTCCACTCCTGACAAAATTGGCTACCTTTTAAAATTACCATCTGTGACTGGATAGATGCTTCAGTGGTTAAGAGCACTGGCTGCTCTTCTAGAGGACCCAGGTTCACTTCCCAACACCCACCTGGCATATCACAACTGTCTGCAACTCCAGTTCCAGGGGATTGGACACCCTCACACAGACAGGTGAGACACCAATGTACATATAATAAAAACAAATCTTAAAAATGTTGTCTGGGTCAGTAAGATCGCTCAGTGGGTAAAGGATGTTTGCTTCCAAGTCTAAAAACTCAAGTTCAATCCCTAGGGCCCACATAGTAGAAAGAAAGAACCAACTTTGGCAAGTTGTCCTCTGACTGCTACACACCCTCTCTCTCTCTCTCTCTCTCTCTCTCTCTCTCTCTCTCTCTCTCTCTCTCTCTCTCTCTCTCTCACACACACACACACACACACCAATATTATTTAGTAGTAAAAGCCATTAGCCATAATAGAACACATTTAACGTGTGAAATATCTGTTTTGGCTCTTACAAAGATCATAACATCAAACATTTAGGGGAGACTTTATGATTCTCGTTATAAACATTAAATGTGAGTTTTGGGTGTTGAAATGACTTACCCAAAGATGGATGGCCATTTGTTCCTACAATAAGGACCGATGTGTGAAATCTTATACCTCTGTGTCTCACATATTTACAGCAAGACAAACATGTTGAGTAATGAGCTTGGAAGCACCTGAATTCAGAGGTCTTATGTTGATTCTTAGAATCTGATACATTCTCAAAGAGTCAGTTACTAAGGGAAAGAGTGGAAAGCCCAGAGGAGAAACCTCTTCCTCTTTATGTGAGGAAACTGATATAGAAACCTTGTGACAAGCCCCAGTCCACACATCCTGCCTATTGTGTTGGCTGCAGGGCTTCAGCTCCAGATCTGCTCAGGCTGCTGGAGCCTGAATCATGTCACTTTGTTTTGCCACCCTACTGGCCCTTGGTGAGTTCTGGGAGAAATGGCTGGAGGGGCAGGTGATTTGGGAAAGGAGGGGGGAGGTCTATTCCCCACTCAGGCCCGAGAGCAGCCAAGCATATTCTGGAGACCCTGGGAGGAGATTCTCTCCACTCCATCTCTTATGTGGAGACCTGTTGCTAGAAACAGGGATGGGGCCTGTGGCCAAATTCAGCCTTAAAATGCGTTAGGAAGAGCCTGTTTGGAAGGGAAAGATGACCTGGGGACATTTGTTTTTCCCAGTGTTGGAGGTTGAACTAAGGGCTGAAAGCAGGTTAGGTAAGCACAATACCAGTATTCTGTAAATCCGAGCCCTCTTTTTATTTTTTAAGCTCACAGACATTATTGAATACCCTTATTCAGAGATTATTTTCTTTTTAAAAAGCATTTATTAGTTCTTCGAGAGTTTCTTAAATGACTCACCCAACTCTCCCAAGATCCACCTTTTTCCAGACCCAACTTTGTGTCCATTTTTTTATTTTTTATTTACTTATTTTGTTATTCCTTGAGACAAGGTTTCTCTGTGTAACAGTTCAGGCTCACCTGGAACTCTCTTTGTAGACAGGCTTGCCTTGAACTCACAGAGATTCACTTGCCTCTGCTTCCCAAGTGCTGGGATTAAAGGTGTGGGCCAACACTGCCCAGCTCCTTGGTGTCCATTTTTAAAAAGCCCTTTAAGACCAATTTGTGCTGCCCAAATATTCTTGTGTGCAGTCTAGCACTGGAGCATGGTTGAGTTAACAGGGGGCTACACTTTTTAATTTAATTGTATTATTATTATTATTATTGGTTATTTTAGAGGCAGTGTCTTACTATGTATGTAGCTGTGGCTGTCCTGGAACTCACTATGTAGATTTCACTCAAAGAGCTCCACCTGCCTCCTAAATGCTGAGACTAAAGGTGTGCCTCAGTACACCCCATTCTTGGGACTACAATCTTAAAGAAAACTGCCTCTCCCTTTTCCAGAAGCTGGCAATTACAATTAGCTCAAAATTTAGCTCAAACGCTAAAGCAGTGACTATGCCCAAATTTCTATTTAGTTCTGGTATTTTGTCTGGCTTGGGCTTGCACGGGTCTTGTGCATGTTGTTACAACTGCTTTGAGTTCATATGTGCAGCTGCCCTGCTGGGCTCAGGATACACTGTAGTCCCTGAAATCATCTACTGCCCCTGGCTTTTATGCTTTTCCCACCCCCTCTCCCTAAGTGATCTCTGAGTCTCAGGAGGAGGAGATGTAGGGTAGGTGTGTCCCCTTTAAGGCTGGGCATTCTGCAGGCTCATATTCTCTACCCATTGATCAGTGATGGGTCTCTATGTTAATCTCCATCGACTGCAAATAGAGGTTTCTTAGATGAGGGAGGGATGGGGGAATGCCCTGAACCATGGGCATACTGATATATACATTTTTTTTGTCATCATTTTCAAAATTTCATAGACGCATGCAATATGACTTGACCCCAATCTTGCCTGTAATTCCGTACCCATCTCTCCCTCCCTCTATTTTGTGTCTCCTTCTTTAAAAACAATAATCCAAAGAATATTCTTTTTGCTGCCTGTATACTCAAGGGTATGGGGCCTTCTGCTGGAGTCTGGTCAACCTACCATAGGCCACACCACAAGATAAAATTCTCCCTTTCCCAGAAGCCACCAACTGCAAATAGCTCCTCAGCTCAGGAGTACCTTGAGGACCTCTCTCCTCTCCCCAGCCCTCATTTCACGTTTTTCTATTTTTAAATTAATGCTTCTCTTATATAATACATCCTGACAGCAGATTCACCTTCCTCCATCCTCATCCCCAGTTCCCCCATCCACCTCCCATCTCCCCCAGATCCACCACAACTCCTGTATCTTTTCAGAGCAGTTCTCACAGGGACGTCCATCGAATATGGCATGACAAGATGTGGTAAGACCAGGAACAAACCCTCACATCAAGGCTGAGCAAGGCAACCCAGTAGGAGGGAAAAGTACCAAGGGCAGACAAAGCAGTCAGAGACACACCTGCTTCCACTGTTAGGAGCCCCACAAAAACCCCAAGATAAGCAACCATGACATATATGCAGAGGCTCTAGCACAGACCCATGCTTGTTCTGAGACTGCTGCTTTGGTCTCTGTGAGCCCCATGAAACCTGCTTAGTTGATTCTGTGGGCAGTGTTCTACTGGTGTCCTCAACCCCTCTGGCTCCTACAGCGTTTCCTCTTCCTCCTCCTCGTGGTTCTCTGAGCTCCGTTTCATGTTGGGCTGTGGTCTGTGGGTCTCTGTAGTTGCTCCTGTCATCTGCCGGAGGAAGCCTGTCTGATGACGACTGGGCTAGGCTCTGAACTAACACCGTTTTAGTTTTGGTTTTGAGACATGGTCTCTCTAAGATGCTCGGGCTGACTTTGAACTCACGTTGTAGCCCAGGTAATACCTGAACGTGTGACCCAGTTGAGCAGCTGGGATTTCGAGTCTGTGTCTCTGCCTCTGGTCTTGGGGTTGGTTATTTTAGGAGCCCTTTTAGAGCTAGAAGGAGGATTGTCCTCTGCCTTTAATGTGGAAGATGGATGGCTGGGTGATGATGGGAGGAGGGATGTCTCCACCTACATCTGGTCCTCCCTAGATTCTCATCTCTAAGCAAACCGTGTGGTGTCTTTCTCATTGTGTCTTCTCTTTCAGCGCTGTGCCTGGGACAGAGAGTTAACACGGAGGGAGGTGAGTCATGTGTTTGGCTGCTTCTGCACCCATGGGCAGCTTTGGAGAGACTCGTGTGCACCTGGGCGGCCTGGAGAGAGACCCTTCAATATTGCCTGTAATATTCCTCCCACATGTGCAGCCTTCAGCTCTCTTCCTTTTCCCACCTGTCTTCTTTTGTTGTCTTGGTTAAAAATGTGTTTTTTATTTTCGAGACAGGGTTTCTCTGTATATCTTTGGCTGTCCCAGAACTCACTCTGTAGACCAGACTGACCTCAAACCCACAGAGATCCGCCTGGCTCTGCCTACTTGGTGCTGGGATTAAAGACATGTGCTACCACCACCAGGCATTAAAGTTTTTTTTTTTTTTTAAATAATTTATTTAACTTTATTTTGTGTGCATTTGTGTGAAGATGTCAGGAATGGAATTACAGACAGCTGTGAGCCGCTATATGGGTGCCCTAAATTGAACCCAGGTCCTCTGGAAGAGCAGCCAATGGTCTTAACCACTGAGCCATCTCTCCAGCCTTAAAATGTTTTTAATTGGCAAATAACAGTGGTATGTATTTATGGGATGCAACTCACTGTTTTGGGGTGTGTTTCACACTATGCTATGATTAAGCTAGGCTAAGTTGCATGTCTGTCTTCTTTGACACTCATCACCTTTTACCGGTAAGAGTTTTACATATCTACCATTGCTGGAGTTTTTAAAGAAGCTATCGTGCGTGGTATATCTTGAGACATGCGATTCTCCTGCCTGGATGGAATTTCGAATCTTTGATGATCGTCTTCCCTGTCCACATCCGCCCTCTCCCTAGTCTCAGGCAGTCCATCATTCTTCTCTCATTCTGTTTGTCTCTGAGGTGAATGCGTTTGCATTCCATATATAACTGAGACCCTGTGGTGTTTGTCATTCTGTCACTGGCCTACTTCACCAAACACCCCCAGGTTCATTCTGGTTGCCACCTACAGCAGCATTTCCTTTCTGAAGGGTGACCACTATTCTAACGTGTTTGTGCACCGCATTTATTTTGTCTGTTGATGTACTGACTGACAGTTCCATCTTTTCTCTCTCTTCTCTACTTGATCATGCTGGGAGGAAGGTGGAGAAGAGACAACTCTATGCCAGGCTGTCTGCAAAGACAGCTCCACGACCAAGCCTATAGCTGATGATGCCCCCCCACATTCCAGACCTCTCTTAGGAGCCCCTAGTAAGGTCTTAATAGTCTCACAGGCAGAACAGGAGGATTCCTCCTTGATATCACCTCTCCATCTCCCTATGTACAACGTGTCTCCAGGTCCTGTCCATTCCTCCCACTAAATCTGTAAGTCTCTTGGTTAGTTTAATTAGTTTGTTTTGAGGCAGACTTTCACTATGTATCTATGACTGGCCTGGAACTCATTCTGCAGACAAGGCTGGCATAGAACACACAGAGATGAGCCTGCTTCTGCCTTCCAAGGGTTGGGATTAAATGAGTGCAGCACCACACACAGCCTCAAGTCCCTTTCCCTTTTGAATAAATGTCTGCTAAATTATTTCTAAGCTCCTTCCCTCCACACTCACTGGATCCTTCCATGAAGATTGTTCCTTGTCATGCAGAAGCACAAATATCATCCTTATTTTATTTATATTATATTCCAGAGGATTCATATGTTTATGTTTTTAACTTTTTTTTTTTTTTTACATATTGATCCCAGTTCCCTCTCCCTCCCATCCTCTTATGCATCCCATGGACACGCACATCCCATCCCGAATCCACTCCCCAGGGAGGGTGGGGCCTTCCGTGAGAGATCATCATATTATGTCAAGTCACTTGGGGGCAGGGCCTTGGCCCTCCCTCATGTCTCTAGGCTATGAGAGTATCCCTCCATGGGGAATGGGCTCCTGAAGTCAGTTCCTGCATTAGGGATACATCCTGGTTCCATTGTCAGAGGCCCCATATACATGTCAGGCCTGCTAAATGAGACCCACGTTCACGGGGTCTGGGTCGGTCTTCTGCCGGTTTCCCAGCTATTAGTCTGGGGTCCACAAGCTCCGCCTTGTTCAGGTCAGCTGTCTCTGTGGGTTTATGCAGCCTGATCTTGACCCCTTTGCTCATTACTCCTCCCTCTATGCAACTGGATTCCAGGAGTTAGGCTCAGTGTTTAGCTGTGGGTGTCTGCTCCTGTTTCCATCAGCTACTAGATGAGGGCTCTATGATGGCATATGAGATAGTTATCAATCCCATTGTTGGGGAAGGGCATTTAAGGTAGCCTCTCCACTATTGCTTAGATTCTTAGTTGGGGTCATCCTTGTGGATCTCTGTACATTTCCCTAGTGCCAGGTTTCTCTTTACGTCTATAATGGCTCCCTCTATTGTGGTATCTCTTTCCTTGTTCTTCTCGATTTTTCCCATGTCTCAATCTTCCTGCTTCTTCATGTTCTCCTCTCCTCTTCTCCCCTCCTCTTTTTTCTAGTTCCTTATTCCCTCCCCTCTGCTCTCAATTTTCTCAGGAGATCTTGTCCTATTCCCCTTCTGTGAGGGATGATGTATGTCTGTCTTAGGGTCCTCCTTGTTTCCTAGTTTCTCTGGCAGTGTGAATTATTGGCTGGTGACCCTTTGTTCTATGTCTAAAATCCATATGAGTACATACCATGTTCCTTGTTTTGTGACTTGAAGTCAGGGATGTTGGCTGTTGGTTTACTGTTTATTGCTTTCATTATATTAAGTATGTCCCTGTTATCCCTGATTTCTCCAAGACCTTTATCATGAAGGAGTGTTGGATTTTGTCAAACCCTTTTTCAGAATCTAGTGAGATGATCATATAGTTGTTCTTTTTCAGTTTGTTTATATGGTGGATTATATTGATAGATTTTCGTATGTTGAACCATCTCTACATCCCTGGGATGAAGCCTACTTGGTCACATTGGATGATTTCTCTGATATGTTTTTACATTCAATTAGCGAGTATTTTATTGAGCATCTTTGCATCGATGTTCACGAGGGAGACTGGTCTGTAGTTCTCTTTCTCAGTTGTGTCTTTATGTGGTTTGGGTACCGAGGTGATTGTAGCCCCGAAAGAAAGAGTTTGGCAATGACCTTTCTGCATCTATTGTGTGTAACACTTGAGGAGTATTGGTATTAGCTGTTCTTTCAATTTCTGGTAGAATTTTGCTCTGAAAACATCTGGCCTGGGCTTTTTTTTTTTTTTTCTTTTTTGGTGGTACATTTGATGCCTGTTTCTATTTCATTAGGGATTATAGGTCTATTCAAATTGCTTTTCTGTTCTTGATTTAATTTTGCTAAGTGATATCTATCCAGAAAATTGTCCATTTCCATTAAGTTTTCAAATTTTGATTTCCTCAGTGTCCGTTGTTATGTCCCCCTTTTCATTTCTGATTTGTTAATTTGCATGCTCTCTCTCTGCTTTTTGCTTAGTTTGGATAAAGGTTTGTCTATCTTTTTTTAATGCATATAGAGTATTTTTTATTTAATTTTATATAACAAAGTCCAATTAAATGAAAACAAACATTTATACACAATATTTGGGAATTTGGGCGTCGTTCTTTCCAAACTACTCCTGCTGGTAAGGGGGGCTGTCTTGGGGGATTCGAAGAAGATTCAGATATCCTAGCTGTAGTCTGTAGGGCTGTTTTGTCCAGCTGTTTGGAATGTAGGATCAGCTTGTACTCTGTTTCAGGCGGTCTGGTGTGATCAAACCACATTAGTAGGTTTGTCTATCTTGTTGATTTTTCTCAAAGAATAAATTTTCTGTTACATTTATTCTTTGCATTGTTTTCTTTGTTTCTATTTTATTGATTTCAGCCCTCAATTTGATTATTTCCTGGCATCTATTCACCCTGGGTGAGTCTGCTGCTTTTTGTTCTAGAGCTTTCAGATGTGCTTTTAATTCTCTAATGTGACTATCCTCTATTTTCTTCATGTGGGCACTTAGTGCAATGAACTTTCCTCTTAGCAGTGCTTTCAAGGTGTCTCATACATTTGGGTATGTTGTGTCTTCATTCTTGTTGAATTCTAGGAAGTCCTTAATTTCTTTCTTTATTTCTTCCTTGTTCCAGGAATGATGCAATTGTGCACTGCTCAGTTTCCATGAGTTTGTAGGGGTTCTGCAATTTGTGTTGTTGTTGAATTTTAGAATTTTAAAGCATGGTAGTCTGATAAGATACAAGGGGCTATTCCATTTTTTTTTGTATTTGTTGGGGTTTACTATGTTGCTGAGTATGTGTTCGATTTTAGAGAAGGTTCCACGTGGAGCTGAGAAGAAGGTATATTCTTTTGTGTTTAAATGGAATATTCTATAGATGTTTGTTAAACCCAATTGGGACATAACTTCTGGTAGTTCTTTTGTTTCTTTGTTAAGTTTCTCTCTGGTGGTCCTGTCTAGTGGTGAGAGTGGGGTGTTGAAGTCTCCCACTAAAAGTGTGTGAGGTTCTATGTGAGATTTGAGTTTTAGTAATGTTTCTTTTTTAAATATATATATGCATAATTTTTCTTATTTTACATATCGACCCCAGTTCCCTCTCCCTCTCTCCCTCCCATGTCCCCTTAACCTCCCATTCTGTCCTATTCATCACCCCACTCCACAGGGAGGGTGATGCCCTCCAGGGGGGATCATCAAAATCTCTCAAGTCATTTGGAGCAGGGCCTAGGTCCTCCCTCCTGCCTCTAGCCTAAGGGAGTATCCCTTCATGGGAAATGTGCTTCCAAAGTCTTTTCATGCACTAGTGATACATCCTGGTTCCACTGTCAGAGGACCCTTAGACTGCCTAGGCCTTCTGAGACCCACAATCAGGGGGGTCTGAGTCGGTACAATGCTGGTTTCCCAGCTATCCATCTTTTATGAATGTGGGTTTCTTTGTATTTGGGGCAGAGATGTGACTCTGATGTACCCCACCTACTTCCTGATCCCCCTGTCCTTGAGAACTTGTTTAGAGGTTCGTTATATCAGGGAAGTGCAGATACTCATATACCCTTGACCAAAGACTGGTCCTCCTCTCTTTGGGTACCAGCAGCAGCATGGTACATGGAGTGGTGAGGGAGGAAGGGGACACTCACCTAGCCAGACAGATCAGCCAAAAACCCTGGCAATCAATGGCGTGACAGATGTCACAACCAGATCGTCCTCACATCCTGGTCCCCCTGTGCTACCTGGCTTTCTTGTCTCTACGTTCTTCAACATTCTCACAGTTTTCTTAAACACTCCAGCCACCCACCCCACAGTCTGGGTTATCTCACAGGATGAATTTCAATTTAGTTTTTAAAATGACAAAAATTGCATTTTGTGTTTACCATATCTGATTTCATGTTCTGCAATGAATAGATATTAGAGAATGACCAAACCAAGCCAGTTAGCATATGGTTTCTCCCGCACTCATCTCTTTGTGGACAGCACTTGAATCCAGCTCTTGATGGACCAGAGGCCTGGTGTGAATCATCCCTGGCATATCCCACAGCTGAGCCCTTGAGCTACTTCTCCTTGGGTAGCACAGGGCCTGTGTCCTCTGAGTAGTTCTTTACATGGTGTTTTATCGATGTTTGCTTCTCCGTGCCCCTGTCTGCTAGGTGCAGTGAGTTTATGTCTCTTGGGTGTCAGGGCAGGTACCTCTCCCCTGTCATTTCAGGGGGTACACCTCTGATCTCACCTGTCCTTGAGACTCCTATGCTCACCCCTCACCTTCACTGAAGGTGAAGTCTTTATGACAGAGTATTGGACAGTTCTTTTTTTCTATATCAGTCTTCAATGCCATGTTTTAGCTTCAAGTGGAAGAAATTGTGTTCCTTGTATAACTGAAGCCATGGAAACATAGATAACAACCCCAAGATGATGACTAAGATATTAAAAGTGGTTGAAAGAATAAGTGAAGGAAGGAGAGCAGATTAGGAAATGGTGGGTTTTAAAAGCCCCAGTAACAGACTAGACAAAAGGTGGAGATAAAGGTAGAAAGTGCTGAGGTCCCTGGAGTAAGTCAGTTCCCAGAGAGGCTGTGGGCTCTGCAGCAGACATGTCCAGCCTGGAATGTTCTGAGATTTCCTTGGATGGAGCTTTGCCAGACCTAACATATGCTTGGGCTTACATTCCTTCATGTGATGTGAATTGAAATGCACACAGAGAGTGAGGGTGTTGTAAACCTGCACTTTGATCATGTGTGGAGAACTCTAAACTTGGTAAGACTATAGAATTCTGTGCCTAAATTGATTTTGCATTGTGGCAATGTCCTGCCTGTGTACACTGAGATTCCTGCTCTGCTCTCTCCTAGGATCTGTACCAAGGCCTTCCATCTCTGCTGAGCCAGGCCGTATCATCTCCCAAGGGCGTTTTGTAACCATTGTGTGCTCAAACCCTAGTGGGTATGATTTGTTCCGCCTGGAGAAAAAAGACCAAACAGTCGTGGAAAATGTGAACACTTCCCACTCTGTGACAGAGGCTCGATTCCGCCTTGGCCCAGTGAATGAAAACACCGCTGGACCATATACCTGTATCTATTGGAAAGGGTCTATCTGGTCCCCACGCAGTGAGACCCTGGAGCTGATAGTAACTAGAGAAGTTGTCACCCAGGCTCCTGAGCCAGGCCCAGCAGTGACCTCAGGTTTGTTCCCAGGTCCCTGGACTCTAACCCCAGCAGTTCTCACCCACCCTGGGCTCCTTTCCCCCACCTGCCTCAGCACAGGTGGGTCCCCTCTTCCCTCAAACCCAGATTTCTGGAGCTTCATTAACCAGACCCCATGGATGACGTGGATACAGTCTGGTGGGCCGGGTCTGCGTTATTCCTGATTTTGGGTAGGGACTGATCCCGAGCAATGGTGGGTGCAGACTCCTTCAGGGGATGCATGTGTTTTCACTGGGCATGGTGATTTATCCTGTCCTTCCATTGAGTCTGAGCCTGTGGTGATTGCAGGAATATATCTCCTCCAGCGTGGCACCATCTCCCTAAGCAGGTCATATGGTCCCCGGGGGGCCGGGGAGCAGGCCTGGGCTAGTCTTTTGGGGGTGCTTTCATATTGGCTGCATGTGATCAGGTCCCAGGTTGTACCGGAGTCAGGGTACAAACAGAAGTTCTAGTCCACTTCCGTGTCTTCCCACATCTTCCTGGGAGCTTCTCAGTGTTTATTCTGTGCGTGCGCCCAAGCGGAGCGGGCGAGGGGAGGAAGAGAAGGAAGGACCAGTATTCAGCAGCAGGGATTTAGGAGGGGCGCTGCCATGCTTTCTGTTTCCCCTGCCCTGTCACCTCAGATCATCTGACGGCCTGTGCCTGAGTGGTGGGCAAAGCACTCCTTTTGGATCGATACTTAGGATGGAGAAGGGGTCTACATAGCTCTCCTCATATCGACGCCGGTGTTGTAATTCATTACGGGCTAGCTGCGTTGATGTCCTGATAGCCTTCTGCTTAGATTTGAAGCCAGGCATCAAATATCAGGGTAGCATCCATAATATTGTCCTCCTCCTCCTCCTCGTAGTTGTTTTATTTTGAGACAGGGTCTCAGTTTTTGACAGTCCTGGAACTTGCTACTTAAACCAGGCTGGCCTAGAACTCACAGAGTTTCTCTTGCCTTCGTCTCCTGAGTCCTTAGATTAAAGGTGTGCGCCACCACGCCCTTCTATTTTAAATGTGGAGATAATTAGGGTTCTTGGTCAAGGATACCAAATTCTGAAGGCTGCTGGACAGCAGCCTGTGTTTGCGCAGCTCTATGCTGCCCTCTTGTGGCCTTAGCCTCTACTACCTTTACTCTGTGCGATCGAGCAGACTGGGGCGGGGGGGGGGGGGGGGGTCCCTCCTTGCTAGTGACAGTTCAGTGCAAAGACAGAAGGATCCCCGAGACGAAAGTGCCACGGGAAGAGGGTGACCTGCAGAAGGTAGCTAGCCTGGGACGCTGTTGGATGTGGAATGAACTTTTTTTCATTCCTCGTGTCTCAATCTGCCGGGCTGTGGCTCCATGGCCAGGACTCTGTGTGTGTCGTGGGGTGGGGAGTGGGGGTTGGGGGGTGGGGGAGGCGGTCCTGAGTCACTGTGCTGTGCGAGGCTGAGCTGTGAGTTCAGGCGGGGTGGTGGTGGTGGTGGACAGGGACTCGCAGAGTGGGAAGATAGAGGGTGGCCAGCTGGTGTTTTTTTGCGGAGCCCTTTTCTTGTGCTATTGTGGTGGGACATATCATGATGTGTTTCCTAGATGAACTACTGAATCGCCATCATGATTTTTTTGACTTTTTAAACAAATATTCTCTCACCAAAGATGAGTCCAACTGGACACTCATGGTGGGGGAAGAGAAACGGCTCTGCCGTTGTGGGCATAATGGAGAGATAATTAGGTGAACCACAGAAATACATTAAAATTTCAGGTCTGAAACGAAATTTACATTGAATTATACAATTATCTGATAATTAAAATAAACATTATTGATGTAACAGCATAAAGTATCTTTACAAATAAATATAGTGCATGTTATTCCATTTTAAATAGTATCACCTGCTATTTCATATTTGCAATTATAGCTTAACAGATATAATGTATTACTATAACACACGTATAGGTGCACATCTATTAGGATAGCAATGTATAATTTGTATGTTTGAGATAACATTTACAACTTATTTATGTATTAGTTTTCGTGATGGAAAGTAACTATTTTATTTCACATTTGCTTTCTGACTTTTTGTGTGTAGGAATATATGTTGTGTCCTGTGTGTTCTCATGTGTTGACGCTCAGGTGGGGGTGCAGGCTCACATATGTACATGCATCATATATGTGTGTGTGGGTCCGTGATTGATGCTGAATGTCTTATTGGCATGTTCTCCACCTTCTGCATTGAGGTGCAGTGATCTCTGACTCCAGGGTTCACTATTTCAGCTATTATGATTAGCTGTATTGCTCAGCGGATTCCCTGTCTCTGTCTGCTGTGCACCGGGATTACAGACCTGCTGTCATGTCCACTTGACCTTTGCTGTGGGTTCTGGGGATCTAAACTATGGTCCTCACTCTTGCCCATCAAATGCTTTACTCATAGATCCACATCCACAGCACCTTAGCTGTGCTCATTGAGGTCACATACAAATATACTGCCCTGGGTCACTTAAGAATGGTCTTTTGCATCTTGAAATTAGCAGGCGAATCGACAGAACTAGGAAAAACCACCTTGAATGAGGAGACCCACAAAGACAACCATGGTACGTACTCATCCATAAGTGGATATTAGATGTAAAGCAAAGCATAACCAACCTACAAATCCACAACCCAAGAGAAGCTAGGAAATAAAGAGGACCCTAAGAGAGACTTACATGGATCCACCTAGGGAAGGGAAACAAACAAGGTTCCTGAGTAAGTTGGGAGCTTGAGAGGGATGGGAGAGGGGAGGAAGGAAGGGAAATGGAGAGGTGAACTTGAGGGAATGCTAAAATCCAATGGGGGAAGGACAGAGAGTGAGAGAGGGAGCCATTGTGGGATTAGCAAGAAACCCGGCACGAGGGAGATTCCTAGGAATCCACAAGGGTGATCCCAGATAAAACTCTAAGCAGTAGTGGAGAGGGTGGCTGAATTGGCCTTCCCCTGTAATCAGATTGAGGACTTCCTTCATCCAGCAACTGATGGGAGCAGATGCAAAGGTCCACAACTAACCCCTGGGCTGAGCTCCTGGAGTCCAGTCAGAGAGAGGGAGGAGCAGTAACATGAGCAAAGGCATAAAGATCATGATGGGGAAAGCCACAGAGACAGCTGACCCGAGAAGGTGGGAGCTCACTGACTCTGGACTGACAGTTGGGAAACTTGCATAGGATTGAACTAGACCTTGTGAAAGGGGGTGACAGTGAGTGGCTTGGGCAGTTTGTAGGGACACTGGCACTGGGACCAGGACCTATCCCTAATGCATGAACTGGTTTTTTGGAGCCTATTTCTTATGCAGAGATGCCTTAGTCCTACCTCATCATGGTGATGGAACAGATTACATTGACTCCCCATGGGAGTCCTTACTCTCTGGGGAGCAAACTAAGGGGTGTGGTGAGGGGAAAGTGGAGAAGCAGAAGAGGGGGACTGGGATTAGTATGTAAAAAAAAATGGTCCTTGGTTCTGGGACATATGCCCATAGGCCATGTGGTTGTGCAACACCTGTGTTCAGAGAAATGTATCATTGGTAGCCCATTGTGTCATTGTGTGAACAAGATGTGATTTAAGCCAGCTTAGAAGGCAGAGTCCCCTGCACACCTGACCATGTGGTGTATAGAGCAAACAACTTCTAGACTGCAGCCCTGAACAAACGCTATTCTGAATGCTGCAGGCAAGCAAAATGTAAGGGCGGGCACAAATCCACAAGGACAGAGCAAGTTTTCAGCTCAGTTATGATCTTACCTAAGGTCCTTGATTAATAGTGACATCACTACACAGCACCCGTGGCTCTGTTTGCATAGCAATATATACTTATAAATACATCACGTATGTGCATATGACATGTTTCAATAAGATACATGGGAAGGACAGACTAGCAGGTAGGGGCTTGAGTTGGACTTGGGCAAGATGTTGAGGGGAGAGCCTCTAAAGGGACATTGTCTGACTTTCTTTAAAGGAAACTGAAGATTCTGCCTCAGGAGCAAGGGAGGGGAGTGGGTACCATCTAAGAAGAGGGGACAGGTGGGCTCCACCTTGTGTGATTGCCTGTGAGGACATACAGTGAGTGCATGGGTGGAGAAGGGTAAATGTTACGGAGAGGATGGGATGGGCACTAAATGCAATCTGCAGGGCACCAGGCAGCAAGACAACCCTGGGACCGAGTTCCTTCCTGTGAGTGTCTACCCCTGAGGAACATGTAGAGACGGGGATTCTTGACCTCAGTGGGAGCCCAAGTGGGAGTCTGTTGAGGGAGCCCTGCTTCCTTTCTTGAGTGTGGTGGGCAATACTGTCCTACATGACTTCAGTCATGAAGTCAGTACTCTTGTCTGTGGGAACAAGAGTGCATGCCAATAGCTACATATGACTGCTGGGTCCTTAAACGGCTTGCCGTGGCTAGTGTGCTCCAGAGCACAAAGAAGGTCAACACTCTCGACGGGTAACATGAGGATAATGATTAAATGTTTCAAGGCTACTACCTATGTGAAATTGTACATATTCACACACGCATAAACACCACCCTGCATACATGTGCTGTGCGGCGGGTACTCAGTAAATGTATGCTGCTGATAACCTGGTTACCGTCTTCCCTAGACACATCTTGGCTGAAGACCAATGGCATTTATATTCTCATCGGTGTCTCTGTGGTCTTCCTCTTTTGTCTCCTCCTCCTCCTCTTCTGCTTCCATAGTCGCCGCCGTCAGAAAAAACAGGGTAGGTGTCCGCGGTGACAGTTGGCTTTGGTGGGCCGTTGGGAGTACTGGGAACAAGACTTCCCTCCTAAACATGAACTGCTAACTATTCTTAGGGCCCCCAAACAGCAAGAGTCAGCAGCAGCAGAGGCCACAAAAGAGGTGAGAACTCTGGAATGACTCTCATACCCTGGCCCACTCCTTTGCCTCCAACCAGTCTCTAATGTCGTCTGTCCTTTCTTCTTAGGCTCAGCCTAGTTACTAATGGTCTGGAGAACACATCAGGTAATGGATATGAGAAGAAAGGAAGGGGTTGCCCAGCCCACTGGGAAGCAACGGACAAGGGAAACATCTAGGAACTTTGTAGAGGGGTTCTAGCTGGGGTGGGATACAACGTCCTCTCATTGTCTTGGAGAGCCCACCAAGAAGAACTTATGCTACGCCTTCTTTTCTATAGACGTAGTCACAGACGACAGGCTTCCTGAGGACAGGAGGGCAGAAACCCAGGTAGGTCTTTGCATTCGTCATCTAGTGCCAACTAACAAAATGCTCCCAAATTTAGCAGCTTAGTAACATGGCTTCAGTCTCTTGGGTAAGGGACGTTGCTGCAGAAGAATTCAGGAAGTGTTGACTATAGATGCTGTCACCTCGGGCCTTGTCCTGAGTGACACATTCTAGTGGCTACAGGCAGGGGAGCTCTCCACAGCAGCTGGCTTCCCCCCAGAGAGAGCACCCAAGACAAGAGAGGGCAGAGACTACTTCTTCCATGTCTCTGAGTAACGTAATGTAACCCCAAAACCACTGGGAGGGGGCGCAGGATAGGGTGACTATAACACACAGAGCGGTTGCAAGTAGCTTTCCCAGTCCTCACCACCCCAACCCCCACAGCCACCCTAACTTTCCTGGGCCTTTCTCTCTCTCTCTCTCCCTCTATGTTCTCTCTCTCTCTCTCAGGTCCCTGTTGCAGGAGGTCTTCAGGAGGTGACATATGCCCAGCTGGACCATCACGCCCTCACACAGAGGACAGCTGGAGCTGTGACCCCACAGAGCACAGACGCCAAGCCCGAATCTAGCACATACGCAGCCATCATCAGATGCTGACCCTGGGCACACCTGGAGACGAGCACAGTCACTACTGGAAGAGCCCAGTGCAGCCATTCAAGGGCTCCTTTTAGGATCACTCTGCTGTGGAAAGCAAGCCAGCCAGTTCTGCTTGAAGCAGAAACTAAGCCCTGCAGGCTCCTGTTCTCCATCTAGGACTGTAGTGTCAGTCCTTAGAAAGACCATGTTGCAGGAAGAGTACCAGTTACAATCACCTAACTATTTCCAGAGACAGAGTTTCAGCCTGTTAGCTATTTCTAAAGACTCTTCCATAGCCCAGATTATTTAGTGAACGACACTATAACTGTCAAGCTGCCTCTACACCCCCGCTTGTGTAATGAGTCCAGTGAAACCTTGAAGACTTCCTTGGGTCCCCATGGTGACTCTGATTGGGTTGTATTCATGCTGTTGAAAGCTAAGCTGCTTCTCTGCATCAAGCCTCATGGGTACATCATGGGTAATTTTGAAGACAGAGTATCTACAACCTGTGTGGGTCTTAGACACACAGGCTCTAATGACCCAAATTCTATCTCTACTGCTGTGCAGAGATGAGTGGGAAACGAGGGCTATAAAAGGTTGTTACGATTTCCTTTTTTCTTTAAAATATATGTGTAGTTGACCAAGACTTTGCACACTCACGTGTGCACCATCAGGGCTCAGTGTGCTGTTGTGTGTATAGCTATCAGCACAAATACACAGCACAGCTGCTGCCTCCCACCGGATGCCTGGAACACATGCACTGATTGATGACCGGAGTGTGTTGATCAGGGATGGGAGAGGAAGGAGGAGTCAAAGGACAGGGGAAGCTGAGAGTGGGCAGAACTATTCTAAGCACACACTCTTACACACAAGGTCACACAGGCAGACTCATACATGCAAACACACACACACACACACACACACACACACACACACACAGAGCAAGAGGACACTGAATCACTGTTAGATGCTACTTGTCAGCATCTCTGCCCCGACACAGGGTCAGGCTCAATGCTCCCATATCAATGCACATATGGCCAACACTAATTAGACTTGGAACGCTATCAACAACAACAACGAACAACAATAATAACTTAAAAAGAGGGCATTGCAGTGCAGTGGCACACACCTTTACACTTGGTACTTTAGGAGGCAGAGGCAGGCAGATATTTCTGAGTCTTAGGCCATCCTTGTCTACATAGTGTGTTCCAGGCCAGTCAAGGCCGCAGAGTGAGATCCTGTCTCAAAACCAAAGCCCAACCCCCCCCAAAAAATGGCATGAAGTCTGGAGTGAGACAGAGCAGAAAATGGTAGAGCCCCTAAGGAGTTGGAGAGAGGCAGATAAGACCCAGACACACGGAACTTGTCATAGCTGTGAAAATTTAAAAAAGTAAATTAAAATACTAATTAAAAAAGAAAACAATACTCATATGAGCTTACAGATACTGAAGCAGCATGCACAGAGCCTGCAGAGGTCTGTGCCAGGTCCTCTGCATATTAATTAAGGCTTTCAGTGCAGAGTTTGTATCGGTCCCCTGAGTGTGTGAATGAGTGGGTCTATGATTCTTGTGCCTTGTCTTGGGCTCTTTTCCTTCTGTTGGTGCAGAACCCATCACAACCTAGATGTGATGGTTTTTTTGTTTTATCTTGCTATACTTTATTTTATTAAAAAAAACAAACAAAACCATAAATTTAAAAAAACAACAACAACAAAAACAGAAAAGAAAACTTACATATTCAGAGGGCCACTAGGGGGTGAGAGTGTCTTATCTTGATGGGGCATCTTCGAAACACACTGGGCTGAAAGAAAACATGAGAAATAAGAAAAACAATAGCAACAACAAAAAAGAAACTGATTTCCAGCATGCTTGTGTTAAAGCAAACGCCTTTACCTACAAAAACGCCCAATAAGACATCCTCTCTTGAAGGGAAAATTGGATGGCGTCACTTTGGCAGGATCCACAAAATCATCATCATCTGAGCTGGGGAGATGGCTTAACTATTAAGAGCACTGGCTGCTCTTGTAGAGTACCTGGGTTTGGTTCTTAGCACCAACATGGTGACTCAGAACCATCTCTAACTCCAGATCCAGGAGATTTGATGCTGTTTCCTGATTTATGTAGGCACCTAGCGTGCACACGGCAGTGCCCAGACAACACGTACAGGCAAAATAGTCATACATAAAATGAAACGAATAAACCTAGTACACAATTAAAGATACATATCGCTATGTGCTGTGCTTCATAAACAAATAATAAGTAAGTGAATATCAGTGAGAGGAAAGATAATTAAATAAAAGAACAGAAATGAAACTAGAATACTAGCCATGTATGTGAAGAAACAATGTTTAAGAATACGAGTGTGCATGTCTTTAATCCCAGCGCTTGGAAAACAGAGACGGGTGAATTTCTGTGAGTCTGACGCTCTCCCCTGCCCACTCTGTAAGGCACTCTAGCCTAGCATCACCTGCAGAGGACACAACAAGGATGGATAAAGGAGTAGGAAGGATGGAGGGCCAGGTACCTGACCGAGGGGGAACTCAATCAACCTAGAGAGCAGAACATAAACCAGGAATGAGTCCTCAATGTGTGTATGCCCCTGTAATGTGCAAGCTCATTAGATAAAAGAATACATTTAATTGTCATATATTAATCATACAAACAATGGGTTTTGTTATGGCATTTTCATCCACACATATAACACATTTATATCAAATTCACCCCACTGCTCTCATTTTTCCAGCTCTTACCCCTTTACCCCTGATAATAATTTAAATTTTTTTTCTTGATTACATAAGTAAAAGCATGTGATACTTGTCTTTATGGCTTCTTTCATTTAACAGGATAACATATTCAGCCATAAAGTAAAATGTAGAGTTTTCTCTTTCCATGATAGAGAGAAAAATGTGTCACGTGAGAAACATGATTATTTTTAGAGCTTAGCCAGGAAGATTTTTGTCCTTATTGCATCCTGCTTATGTGACTAGCATCCATTTATCCATCCACCCCCCCAATCAATTCATCCATCACATATCCATCCATCCATCCATCCCTACATGCATCAGTCATCTTCCATTTATCCATCCACACAACTCTCAATCTGCCTATATATGCTAACACCCTCAAATCAATCCATCAACATACACATCCACAATACAAGCATATATACATTATTCACCTATCCGTTCATCATCCCTCTCTTCAATGATTCATCACTCATTCATCATTAATCCTTATTTTATCATTCATCAATATTACTGATTCTTTATGTAACAATATATCAGTTATATACTATGTGTGCATGTATCCAGCTATGGCAAGTCAGCAATATATAATAATATAGACCTTGCCTTAGACTACTTGGGCAATACATCAGTATATGAAACCAAATTGCTGTAACTCAATTTGGGGAAGTTAAAATGGGGTCTGGATCCCAGCACCTCCCTTCCTGTGATATATAGTCCTATAAGCTCACTCTGCCTTGCTGGAGTCTGTTTTCCTACCACAGGGCAGACACAGAGCAGTCTGAGACACTGGGCCATGTCTTTATTGCATCCCATCTCCATCATGGTCCTCAGGGAGTATGTGCATGAAGATGGATCAGAGGAACAAGAAGGGTGGGAAACACAGGTCTACGATTCCGTTCATTCTCTAGCACAGGAGTAATAAATATCTGACGGGCATTCAGTCCCACAGACACCTGGCAGCCTGATGTCCTGAGTCAACCAAGAGGACACCTGAAATTACCTGTATGGTCTTAAAAAGTTGGGGCAAAGTGGGTCTAATGGCGCTGGCTGTGAGGTCCCCAGGGCCCTATGAGGACTCTACCACAGAGGAGGAGACTTAGCCTAATTGAGAGTCAACATTGATTAGAGAGTTTGGATGTCACATGTCACCCTTATTCCATGACCCCAGCTGAAGGAACCTGAATAGTGTATATTTTACTCACTGGGATGTCTCTTTCAGTGTTCTCCCTGGGACAGACAAATCACACGCAGGGTGGTGAGTCATATCTATGGGACTCTAAGCCCTCCCCATTAATGACACACACTAGATGGGCATTATGTGGATTGAGGAAGGATTGTAACCCACTTTAAGCCATATGATTATCATACATCAGTCTCCTCATCCAACATACCCTAAAGGTTGCAGGTTTCTCATCCATTCATAGCTGATTGTTTTTTATCCTTGTCATTGGTATCATGTTAGATAACAAAATAGCTCCCTTAACTTACTCTGATGTTCATCGTTTGTTAAAAACAAGAATCTAGCTAACTTGGCCATGATTATTCTTTCCTTCTCCCACCTCCATTGCCAATCACTTTCCTCCAGAAGCCAAAGCTTCAACAGTAATCCTGCAACAGCACCAGCAGGTACCCAGAGATGTAGCGTTCCTCCTTCCCAGTCCTTTTTCTTGGCCACTCACATTAAACTCATCTTCTAATGTCCAATGTCACTACTCTTCCAACCATCACATGCATTTGCATAGTTGGCAAAGATCAAAGGCATTTATGAGTTCCTACATGTCTCCCTCAGCGAGGCTCCATCTCTTTAGCACAGATGGGATCATACAGCTGCACAGCATGACTCTGGGCTTCCTAAATGTCACCACTGGTCTTGTGCTGAGCAGTGTTGTGTTGAAAATGGGAAGTGGAGCACAGACTTGGTGGAGGATGTGGGTCTTGTGCTATTTTCTTCCCACCCTTTACGTGAAAGGAGAAAAGCCCATTGGCATCAGAACCTTAACGCTGTGGTCAGCTGATAAACCAGATAAGCTGTTTACCTCACGACATCCTGTGTGCTTTTGCTGGTGCAGTGCCTTCTGTCACAGTTTTATAGAGAAATTGATCGATATCAAGGGTGCTACAGAAAATAACGCAGTATGCTGTTTACATACCAATCTATAAAGAGGCAAAGTAGCAGAAACAAGAACAATGCTAATGAATTCTGTATTGGGGGGAGGAATGTATTGTCTTTTCGTCTCATCTGGTGTATGCTATTGTCCAACCTATCATGATACCAAATTCCTCACAGGGAATTATCACTCAGGAGAAGAAAAACCATAGAAATAAACCAGAAAAGAAGAACACAAGCTCAGAGTGTCAGGAAGTTTCTGTGGGTGTCCTTTCAGAAAGGTGACTTTACGAATGCATTAAATACACAGATCTTAGAGAAAGCCCAGAAGAAAGAAATGGGCTGCAAACTGCCGTAGAACATGCCAGTGCTCACCTTCCCTCCCTGTCTGCTTCTCAGCTCCGGATGACTCTAACTCTTCACATCCTTTTGACTATAAACTAGGTCAACACCGGGAATACTAAGTTTCTAGGGGAGCTTGGGAAGGGGCCACGTGAAGTCCGTAAGTGGGTTAGAGAACAAACAATGCTTCAGGATTCCTCACGGTTGGCTAGTCTTTGGATCTGTGACTCCTTTCTCTCCTCACGGACATGGGGTCTGCACTTAAAGATTTTCTCTTGAGCATCCCCCAATGTTACCCCAACCTGACCCTCATACATGTCTTAACATTGGTGTTCGAAGAGGCTTTCTGCTTTGATCTTATTTTGTGAAGGGACACGGACACACACACACACACACACACACACACAGAGAGAGAGAGAGAGAGAGAGAGAGAGAGAGAGAGAGAGAGAGA